CAGCCCTGAGCAATCTCTGCCCACAGGAGAGAACTACAAGACAGAGGGCTATGTGGTGACACCCAACACCATGGCCCTGCTGAAGCAGCACTTGGCAATCACAGGTGGGCAGGTGAGGCCACGTCCCCCAGCCCAGCTCTTTTCTGTGAGGGTGGTACTGCCAGGATGGGTGGGGGACACAGCTCACAGGGGGCACAGTCAGAGGCAGGACCCACATGGCGTGGAGAGCTCTGTGGGATTGCTGGGTGCTCATGTCAGTGCCACCACTATCAGGGAGGGAAAAAGTCTCCTGCCAAAGAACAGAAGTGTCCCCTTTCCCCTTGCAGGTACGGACGCGGTTCCCTCCTGAGCCCAATGGGATCCTGCACATCGGCCATGCCAAGGCCATCAACTTCAACTTTGGTTATGCCAAGGTGAGAAGCATGAAGCCCCACCTCTTCCCTGCCTTTCCTTGCTGCTTGGCTCCTGGCTTGGCCTTGTGGTCCCCCAGGGAGCAGCTGCTCACTGTCCCCACATCCCCAGGCCAACGGTGGTGTGTGCTTCCTGCGCTATGATGACACCAACCCCGAGAAGGAGGAGGAGAAGTACTTCACAGCCATCCGGGAGATGGTGGAGTGGCTGGGTAGGGCTCAGGCTGGGGTGGGCAGGATCAAGCCAGATGCCAGGGACGTCCCTGCATGCAGGTCCTGCTGCTGGGCCTTTGGAATGCCACCAACCTGCTCCGTTTCCCCCATCCCCACAGGCTACCAGCCCTATGCGGTGACCCACGCTTCGGATTACTTTGACCAGCTCTATACCTGGGCCCTGGAGCTCATTCGCAGGTGAGTGTGCGGTAGGAGTGTGCTGGTGTGGTATGGAGGTCCTGTACCATGGCTGGGGCTCCTCTTCACCCACTTGTGTCTAGTAATGGCATTTCCCCTCCGTAGGGGTCAGGCATATGTCTGCCACCAGAAGGTGGAGGAGATAAAGGGCCACAACCCACCACCCTCGCCGTGGCGGGATCGGCCCGTGGAGGAGTCACTCCTGCTCTTTGAGGTACTCCTGGCTGGGACAGGTACTGTGTGCCTGTGGGGTCTGGAGCTGTGGCTCAACTGACAGCTTCTCCCCTCTCCACAGGACATGAGAAAGGGCAAGTTTGGGGAGGGAGAGGCCACGCTGAGGATGAAGCTGGTGATGGAGGATGGGAAGATGGACCCTGTCGCCTACCGCGTCAAGTTCACGCCACACCACCGCACCGGGGACAAGTGGTAGGGAGGGCCTGCAGTGTCCTGGCATGCGTGATGAGGGTGGGTCTGGATCTCTAGGGAGTTGTGAGGTGTCAGGAGAGGAGCAGCACCGGATTGTGCTCCGGACTGACTGTGTCCACCTTGCAGGTGTATCTACCCCACATATGACTACACACACTGCCTCTGCGACTCCATCGAGCACATCACACATTCCCTCTGCACCAAGGAGTTCCAGGCCAGGTGAGCACCATGCATGGCACGGCCCAGGGCTGAGCCAGACCTGGGAGTAGCTGGCTGCATCCTGGTGGACGCCAAAGTGCTGGAGGACAGCGTGTCTGTGGGGCTGAGCTGGGCTGTGCCTGTGCCTCCCTTGCAGACGCTCCTCCTACTTCTGGCTGTGCAATGCACTGGATGTCTACTGCCCCGTGCAGTGGGAGTATGGGCGCCTGAACCTGCTCTACACTGTCGTCTCCAAGAGGAAGATCATCCGGCTGGTGGAGACGGGTGCTGTGAGGTAGGAGCAGGGCCAGCAGCCAGGGCAGGGCTCACCCAGGGCATGCCTGGTTGTCACACGGGTGTTTTCTCAGGGACTGGGATGACCCGCGGCTCTTCACGCTGACAGCCCTGCGCCGGCGCGGCTTCCCCCCTGAGGCCATCAACAACTTCTGCGCACGGGTAGGCGCCTGGGATGGGATGGGGAAGGTGGGTGTGTCCCCTGGCCAGCATGGTGATGGCAGGCTGTCCCTCAGGTTGGTGTGACAGTGGCCCAGGCAACGATGGAGCCGCATCTGCTGGAGGCGTGTGCACGGGAGGTGCTGAATGAGCAGGCACCCCGCGTCATGGCTGTCCTAGAGCCTCTCAAGGTCACCATCACCAACTTCCCTGCCCCAAAGGTGAGACTGCATGGGCTGGGGTGGGAATGGGGTTCCCCAAGATCAGCATTCACCCCCTCTTTCTTGCCAGGCACTTGAGGTCCTTGTGCCCAACTTTCCAGCCGATGAGGGCCGAGGTTTTCACAAAGTGCCCTTTCACTCCACTGTCTACATCGAGGAGACAGACTTCAGGGAGGTGAGTCAGGCCTACCAGGCCATACTGCCCTCACTCCTGGAGCTACAGCTCATGCAGCAGGAGCCTGGCAGCACTGGAAGTGGGGCTGGTGCTGTACACACAGGTCACAGGCAGGTATCGAGCACCTGTGACTCCCAAATGTGCCAGCAGCTCTGATGGACAGTGGGGAAATGCCTGCTGTCCTCACCCTGGCAGGACATGTGCCCACTCTGGCCTGTGCCCTGGGGAATGTCCCACAGTAACATGGGAGTTCAAACAGCCCTGGGATCACCGATCCCTGGGACAGGAGTGGGAGACATGCTGAAGGGAGGGACCTGCTGCCCATGCTGGAACCCCTCAGGCGGCTGTGAACTCTCTTGCAGGAGGCAGATAAGGGCTACAAGCGCCTCGCCCCCGGGCAGCCCGTGGGGCTGCGCCACGCTGGCTATGTCATAGCCGTCCAGAACATCATCAAGGTGGGTGGCTCTGGGCACTGGTGACATGAGGTTGGGCTGTGGGATGTCAGAACGTGGCCATGCCGCAAGGAGGGCAGCAATAGTCAGCTCATGCCAGGAGCTGTGGGCACAGTGAGAGCTGCTGTGTGGCTGCTCCCTGCCAGCCCTGTGCCTCACACAGTGGGGAATGAGGTGGCTCTGAGTTGAGGGGCTGGACCCGAGGCTTGCCCTGTGGGATGGGGCTACTTGACCACTGCCTGACAGCTCAGCTTCTCTCTCCCAGGATGTCAGCGGGCGCGTGATCGAGCTGGAGGTGACCTGCACCAAGTCAGACGTGGCAGAGAAGCCCAAAGCCTTCATTCACTGGGTGTCAGAGCCACTGGCGTGTGAAGTGCGGCTCTACGAGCGGCTGTGAGTACCTGACTGCCTGCAGAGGCAGGTGCAAGCTCAGCACTGCTGGAGCAGCAGCACAGCCATGCACCAGCAGGCCCTGCTGGGGTCTGCCCAGTGCCTTGATGGGGAAGGTGATGCTATGGGGTCCCATGAGCAGCACCATGTCCCCTCCTCTGGCAGCTTTGGGATGAGACTGTGTCTCATGTCAGGTTTTTGCACAAAAATCCCGAGGACCCATCGGAGGTGCCTGGTGGATTTCTGAGTGACCTCAACCCTGTGAGTAGTGGCACCAGATGGGGTTATGGGCCCAAGGGGAAGCTGGGGACTTCTGCACCCACACCTGAGGCAGGCATCCACTTCCATGAACACCCTACCCCTCTCTGTGCAAGGCCTTGTTGTATCCTGGGGGGAGAGGAGTGGGGGAGAGCAGGGCTCTGGAGGAGGCTGAGGGGCTGGAAGTGCCAGCTGAGCTGTCTTCCCCTGCCAGGACTCCCTACGTGTGGTGCACAACGCCTTGGTCGACAGCTCCGTCCTCTCTGCCCGACCCTTTGACAAGTTCCAGTTTGAGCGACTGGGCTACTTCTCCGTGGATCCTGACAGCGAGGAGGGGAAGGTGAGCCCTGGGGAGGGGGCAGTGGGGCACCCCCTGCCTGCCTTGGGGCTCTGAGCAGACCCTCTGTTTCTCCCCAGATGGTGTTCAACCGGACGGTGACGCTGAAGGAGGACCCTGGCAAGGCCTGAGGGACCCACTGCTACCACATCACCATGGTGTTGCTTCCCAGGGAGGCGCAGCACACCCCCAGTGCCACCGTGCCTTGGGGCAGCCCCCTGGGGCACCCCACAGCATCGCCTCAATAAACGGAGATCCCAGCCCTGCCCCTGCCTCCCGTCTCCTGATCAGCCCTGGGGTGCTGGGGACGGTCTGCCCTCTTTGTCCCCCGATCAGCCTTGGGCTGGGGGGAGTCTCCCGTGTTCTTGGGGCATGGGGTCTGCACCTATCCGTCGTGCGGTG